TTGCTTCACAAACTTATTAATACCTTTATTAGTTGGGATCATACAAATGTGCTCTAATAGGCATCTTACATTACTAGATCCTTTTGAGATAATTTTCAGCAACTTATGGACATATAGTTTTCGACAACTCGACTATAACTTGATGTTTGTTGTCGATAACTAAATATACGTTTTCAAAACATCCGGAGTTCGTGAATTATCTTCATAATGATGATCTTGCTACCGTTAGAGAAGAATTCATTATTCTGATCTTGTTCGGGGGATACGCTTTAGCAAATAACCTGTGGAAAAAACTCAGTGTCCACCAAAAATATTGGTCGCATAATTTATTTTTTGTGCTCTATTGGACATCTTACAGTACTAGATACTTTTGAGATAATTTTCCACAATTTACCGGCACAAAATTTTCAACAATTTAAACACAACTTGACGAATGTTCGGGAGTAGTAATGAATGGTTAGTTGGCAATGTTAACAATGTTTGGAATGATAATCATTATAATATATTCACTTAGTTTGATTTTAGTGAATCTCATAAATTATTTCCGCGAGAAAGGGGTTAGAATACTTTCAAACAGGTAATATTCTTAAAGTATTACCTGTTATAAAATGTTTTTTATGAATACAATGATGTTTCGAAAGTTATTTGTGCATTCACACTGCACCAAATGAGATACATTTGTAATTTGATGTATTCACCAATATAATTCACCACGATTTTTATAGTAACTTTTCACAAATTCAACACGTTTTTAATAAAAAAACTGAAAGAAATCGTTGCTAGTACATCACTTCAGGCAAAAACACCAAAACTTTTGGATGTACTTTTTAGATCTAGATCACAGAGACTACTGCCTTTTTTCAGATAGTAAAAAATTGCTCCAGGGAAAGATATTTACCGTAAATGAGGGATGTTTGCCAAAAGTGAGGTTTATTTTCAGACCAAACTCGTAGAATATTGTATGATATTGCAGAGCTGTAAACTTATTTAGATATCGCATTTATATATCTGAGTCTAATTTAAGAATTATTATATTATTATTATAATGATCATATGGTCATAAGCGAGAATGCAATAAAAAATAAAATAATTTAAAATAATTATTGTCCGATAACAAGAATTCTATTTTAAATAGAGAAAGTGGGAAATATTCAGAAAAATTTTCAATCAAGTAAATTCTCGGGCTAATCATAAATAAATGTTTTAAATAAAAAAAAATAAAGAGGTTTTTTTCGAAACATAGTAAACTACAACAACAAAAATTAAATTTATATTATTTTAATTAATTTAATTGTTGGCTGACCAAATACCCATCATCAGTGATCTTGGAAATAATTCTTCTATTTAATTTTTAGTAAATAATTTTTTGAGGCTACACGTACCAGTAATCGAACTCGTGCCCTGCCAAATTTGAAGCTCAGAGTCAGCGCTGACCTAAAGCCGTACTTGACTTTTATGTTCGCACATTTTTCTGGAGTTTTGTTCATTAACAAATTGAATTGTTGTGTTTACATTAGATCGAAATCATAAACCAGCTGTAGAATAATTGAATTGATGAATGAAGAATGATCTATGTATTCTTTCTTATGTATAGAACCTAATCTAGGAACGTAATACTAAGTAAGTCATGCTATTATTACTCCACGATTCCCACGAGCGAGACCAATATTTTGTAAATATGGTATTATTTGTAATTTAAAATCAAATTTTTCAGATGGACGAGAAAATTACTAAATTATTGTATATAACAAAAATTAAGAAACATATATTATTATATATATATTATTATATATATTATTTTATATATTATTATATTATTATTATATATTATTATTATATATTATTATATATATTAATAAATATATATTATTCTATTTGTAATAAAAGTAGCGCTATAAATATTCGTTGTATATCGAACGTTGATTGACTCCTAGCATTTCCAAGTAATTCGATTTTAATTGGAGTTAGCTATTTTATTTGTATTTTTATTTTTATTTAAATATCATTTTGTTGCTTTTTGTCTTTTTCACAATTTTCGTTGAAACCAAAAGTATTTTCATCGATGTGCCATTAAAACGTAATGAGCCAGCCGCATTGACCGATCGGAGCGGATGTGGCCGTTGGCTACTATCTATATTTAATGAATTGAATTGTTATTGTGTAATCGTAAGTTGAGTTAAGTTTAATTTCATTACCACGCAATGACAACGGCTTCGATAATGTCAAAAGCAACAACTGCAATAATGAAACCGACCAAGTGGGCACCTGAAATTTTCGTTTGTGGCAGGTCAATAATCAGTAATAAATTTGAAGTATCTTGCCACTTCAGATATTTTGGTACTGAAACCTCAGAGAGTTAACACGCTCAAATATAAAATTAACCTTAAAGCCTAAATTCGTAATTGTAAATTGAATTTTTGAAATTTTATTTTTATTTTATGTATTTGATATCATATACATGTACATACACACATATATAATTACAGATCCGCACAGAAAAAAAATGTTATACCTAACCCAGTAACTCCTTTCTGTTGGTACGCGGCATAACTTCCTTATTCCTTAAACAATTTTGTTAGAATTTTATATATACTTAGTTCAAGCTAGTATATTCTTTGAGAAGTAAAATAAGGCAAAAGTAATATTACAATTTTTAACAGTGGTTATTATTGTATAATATATAAAAATTTTTTAAAAACACCCATTTAAACAATGAAAAAAAGAAGTATTTCCTATATATGACATACTGTGTTAAAAGTATAATTATGAAATAGAAAAAAAACATATCAGCAACTAATTAAAATATATTGTCGTCTCATTGAGTGCAATAGAACTTTGCCATGATTGACCCAATTCCCTAAAATTTTCCAAAAGGTAATTGAGTTTCGACGTGGACCACGTGTAAGCACTATCCAAATTGTTTCATCCTACTCGCAGTACCTACTCTCAATTGCTAGGACATATTACCTACTCTTACTTGCTAGGAGATATTTCACACACTATCGGGATCCACCCGATATCCCTCAGATAAACACCCATCTAATTATGCTGTTTAAGACCATAAGGCATAAGCTCCCACAATTCATTGCACTATTGTGGCAATATCTTGAAGAAGTGCTTACTCTCCCGCGTAGTAAATATCTACGCATTCCGAAGATATGGTTATGTTCATACAAATTATTGAACAAAATAAAGTGATATTAATTCCATATGAAATCGTTGGAACTTATCTTGTTTTATGTTTAAAAATAAACAATAAACAAATCAAAACAAACAAGAGATAAGAATTTTTAAAATATCTGTTTTTTATGAATAAAATATATAACTGATATATAAATATATATACATGATTTTATATATCAAATATATATTTGATATCATTATAAAATATTATATATTATTTAACAAAAATATATATTTCAGGTTAATACCAGGTAAAAACAAAAAAAAATCACCCGCAATACGGGTGGGACTGTAGAATTGTGAGAGAAAAATTTTCTTCAATGTGAAAAAGGTGAAAGAGGTTACATTGTAACCGCAGACGAAGGTGAATCCAACGGTTTCGGTAAGTGTGATCAATAAGTTTAATTTCTATTATATATATACTTTTTTATAATTAATTTATTTTGTAAGTAAAACTACATAATCTTGTACGATTAATATTAGATGATTTATATACCGAATAGTTAAGATAGTATAATATATAATAAAAAAAAACTGATGATAAAGGACTATATTTTTTTATTTTTACTTTTAAGAAATTTTTTATAATTATTTGAAATATAATTATGTAAAAAATATATATATGTGTATATTTTTTGCTGTTTTTATCTTTAATTTATATGTCATTAGTGTTGTTATTATATTTGCATTTGGAACTCATTTGAAATTCGTTGGAACTGATTTATACAAAATGAGATCGTATCTGCACATATGATATTTTGTATGCAGAAATCAATCATTTGCTTCTCATTTGTGATTTTTGATACAAATCAGTCATTTGAGGCCAGTGTATCAGACTAGACCAGTGGAGACATAGTATATTCTATTTTTGTGCATAAATCCTTATCTAATCAGCAAAAATTTAGAACCATGTTTATTATTTTGTTTATTCTGCACACAATCTATTGTTTATTTTTTAAAAAAAATTTTAACTTAAGTTGAAAGCAACAACATGTTATATTTCACGACTATCAAACATATCCATAATCAGTTACAACTCACTGTAATACGATAGTGTTAGAAATTATGTCATTGACCATGTTTATTTTGACATTCAGGTACAACCCTGCGTCTCTGTGTTTTAATTGTCATTAATGTAGTATTATGCCTTAAATGCAACAATTCTATATCGTATGTCATAATTTATGTTTTAATAAGTGGCAAATTTAATTATTAATGCTTACATAATATTAGAAGCTGCAATATCAAAAATTTCTTAAATTTATTAAAAATCACACAAAAATTTATATGTAAAATTAATTTTAAACAATCTTTTAAGCTAAAATAAAACTTTATAATAAATTTTATATATATTATAAATTTAATATAATAATATATAATTATTTAAAATAATAAAATTTAGTATAAATATATAAATTAAATAATTTTCTTTCATATTTGTCAAACACTTCACGAGTTAACATGTAAATCATATGTTATGATGTTAGTGCATGAATAAAAATAAATTAATTAAGTAAAATTTAATTATTTAAAATAATAAAATTTAATTTAAATATATAAATTAAATAATTTTCTTTCATATTTGTCGAACACTTCACGAGTTAGCGTGTAAATCTAATGTTATGATATTAGAGCATGAATAAAAATAAATTAATTAAGTAAATTTTAATTATTTAAAATATGTAATAAAATTTAATATAAATATATAAATTAAATAATTTTCTTTCATATATGTCAAACACTTCACGAGTTAACATGTAAGTCATATGTTATGATGTTAAAGCATGAACAAAAATAAAAAACAACCCTGTCAAGAAAGCATGCTTGTCATTTCAACAAATTCCACTAAATGACTTATGGTAGTTCAATTTTTATGTTTAGTTAAATATTTATTAAATTAAGTTAAGATACATAGTACGAGTGTATTGGTTTTCTTAAGTGTTAGCTGTTAAGTGAATAAATTCTTATAATGGAAGAAATCGGAAAAGGGCAAGTGCGTGTACATTTCAAAACTAAGCAGGAGCAGTAAGTTACTTAAATATAATTCACAAATTGGTGATATGAATTGATATATGTGTTTAATTAGGTACGCAATTCCCGACATACCGTATGTCATTGATGAGACACTAACAACTGCAGAGTTAAATACATTTATCAACACATTACTAAAGCAAAGTGGCACTACAGAAAATAATGTTGATTTTGATTTCCTGTTGACCGGCGAATACTTGCATGGGCGTTTATGCGATACTTTACGGGAAAAACTAATATCCTTCGAGTCTGGTGTCGAATTAGAGTACGTAGAACGTTTTCCTGCACCTGAACCGCAAGATTGTCTACTACACGATGATTGGGTATCGGCAGTACACACGTGTGGAAAGTGGGTATTGACGGGTAGTTACGATTGCGTGTTGAATATATGGAATGTTAAAGGCAAACATATGCTAACGATATCTGGACACAATATGCCAGTTAAAGCGGTCACATGGATATCTATAGAAAATAATATAGGAAGATTTATATCATGTGGGCAAGATGCCCGTCCGAACATCTGGGAATGGCATATGGATAGCAACTCAGTTAATAATCTAGCTGTTTGTAAAGGTCACGAACGTGCTGTGGACTGTGTTGGTATGAGTCCAGATAACAGACGTTTCGCTACTGGCAGTTGGGACACAATGCTTAAAGTTTGGTCACTAGGTTAGTCTTAACCAGTTTTACTGGTATATTTGCTTGTGATATGAAAATTGACATACAATATTTATTCAAAATTATAGATGATGAGCCCATGAGTAATACATCAAAACAAATGAAGTTACAAACTGATAAAACAAAGGTAACTTTTCAGTAATTAGCGTTGGTGAACTCTCTAATTAAATAATTATGAACTATAATTTTGTAGGTACCAATACTGACATTGCAAGGACATCGTGAAAATGTTTCGTCAGTACAATGGATGGATTCGAATTGCATTTTAACAAGCAGTTGGGATCACACAATTAAAATATGGGATCTTAATATGGAAGGTGTTAAAAATGAAGTATTTGGAAATAAACCAATATTTGATGCTAGTTATTCAAAACTAAACAATTTAGTAGTAACTGCTTCAGCAGATAAGGTTTTACGTTTATATGATCCACGATCGAATAGTATGTATATAAAATAATTTCATTATAAACATTTTGATGTATTCATATCTTGCTTTCATACTTTTTTCAGATACTACTGTGGTACGTAACACATATCTAGGTCATCAACAGTGGGTTCAATCAGTTATGTGGTCAACTACTGAAGAGCACCTCTTTGTCTCTGCTTCCTATGACTGTCAAAATAAATTGTGGGATCGCAGAAGGTATTTAATTTATTTAAATTTAAAATAAAGCTAAAATTAATAAGCCTATCGCAGTTTAAGTTAAAATAAGGGAAATACTAAATTGTCTTTTGTAGAATATAATCTTTTTTAAATAGACTAAATTTTGATATTAAATTATTAGTGCTACCATTTTGGTATCAGATTTATTCGCGCACTTTTACCAGTAAAAACTAATAAAGGAACCAAAAATATAAAATACTTTGAAAAAATTTAAAATACTGTTATTTGCATTGGAAAACAAAAGATATAAAAAATATATATTCTATATTATACATATATAAATATATAAAATATATATTTTTCAATTTTTTTAAGGACAGTATAGTACAATGAAATTACTTTTTCTATATATACTTTTCGAAATTATTTATGTCCCTATTTTTTAAAATCATAGATGACTTATGGAATAATTCGAGTTAGGGAGATTTCACAGTCGTTTTAAAGTCAAGTTAGAAATAATGGTTTAATTTTTACAAATTTTAATTAATTAATTCATTTTTTTTTTAAATCTAATTTTTATTTATTTTATTGTCTATAAAAAACAAATTTGTGAAAGACCGTAAACAGTTTTCAGTCTTACACAAGACCGCTGCCAAAATACAAAAGACCTTTCAAACGATGTTTCGCAATATTTTTAAATGCGGTGAACTGAAAGATCGTTGCCAGAATTGCCCTGTGAATTTAGTTTAGTCAATTTAGTATAGCTCGCACAGCATATATTATTGTTTATACTCTTTATGCAAGCTAAGTATTGTACAGTATTATCACTTTTTTTAAAATTATTAAAGAAAGTACAATATTTATTGCGATTTTTAAAAGCTAAAAAAATATAGCGTGCAATCCTTCATATCATCCAATTGAAAATTTATTAAAATTTAGTCGATTTATTGTTGCAACTAAATACACTTTGAACCTACATTTTTTTTTAATTCGCTCTTTAATAATTCAACATCTTTGATCCTTGCGATTTTGGCTTGTAAAGATTTTTTCTACACTCTAAAAAAGTTATATTTAAATATTTTTAAAAATTATTGTACATAACAATTATTAATAATATTAAATTTTGAATTTATTTCTCGACTTGGTTTTTTTATAATGTTTTTTATGTATTTTATATAGATATATATATTTTATATAGATATACATATTTTATATAGATATACATATTTTATATAGATATATATATTTTATATAGATATATATATTTTATATATATATTATATATATATATTATATATATATATTATGACCTGTAACCATTTTTTTTATAAAATTAAAAGTTTATTTAATATTTTTTAATATATTCCCTATTTCAACTCTCCTTTGGAGTCATTTCATGCACGTTTTCCAGTGCAATATGGACAACGGAACCGAAAACGTAGCGCATGGATATAGATTTTTATTAATATTAATTAATGTTTATTAAATTCTTATCTTGATGATGACTCTCAAGGAAAATCAAAATATAGAATATATTAAAAAATATTAAAGAAATGTTTAATTTTATAAAAAAAAAAGTGAAACTTGTAGCCGGATATAAAATATATAAAAAAATTATTAATAATCTATATCGAAACGTATAATTAAAATATTTTAATTTATTATATTTATATTTATTAATATTTTAATATATTCTTTTTTTTTTTTAGTACCAAGGCGCCATTATACGATTTACTTGGGCATAAGGATAAAGTTATGGATATCGATTGGTCAAATCCGAAATATATTGTATCTGGTGGTACTGACAATTATTTACGTGTATACAAATTTTCAAACGTAACTAAGACAATTGAAGAAAATTGAATTTCGTTTAAAGAAATATAATGTTTGTATATAAATACTAAACTAATTTTTTAATTTTACGTTTAATGAGAAGATTTGCAAAATTAATACTGCTGGTTGGGTAAATTTTGTTTATTCTTATATGTTTCAATAACTTTGATTGATTTTGTCGGAATCATTTGATTTAATATATCAAGTTTTTATAAATACGAGGAGCGCAAAAAATTATTATATCAGAGATATATATTTGAGGATATATCACGAAAAACTTAACTGTACAGGCAGATGGAGAGATAAGAACAATACGTAGAATAATACTCCTTTAAAATTTACAATTATTAACATGTTTTTGTACGGAATTTTTATCAAAAATCGCACCTATTGTTGCACATATGTCAAGTTAAATGCGATAATGTAAAATGTGTGTTTACACCTGCAATTATTATTATTGTTTAGAATTTTATATAATTTTTGTTCGACTATAAGTCACTTTTTGTTAAAATTAAAATTCAAAGTTTGTTTAATATTTTTTTATATATTCTATATTTCGACTCTCCTTGAGAGTCATCATCAGGATCGAGATCTACAAAGATAGTTAGAACAATTTACAATATCTTAATTATTAGTTTCTTGGTTAATTTTGAATACATTAATTTTATTTACATAACAAAAATATATACAGCAAGCACACATTGTAAGTACATATATATATGTACTTATATATATATATATAAGAATTTAATGTAATGGTTATTAACATTAATTAATATTAATAAAAATCTATATCTACACGTCATGCTTTTGATACTATTGTCTATAATGCACTAATTTTCACTAATCATTTTTCTATAGACGTGGACCAAATTGTCGGTGTCTGTCTTGTAATTCATTCTTATATTTTGTGGTATTTGCAAGATATGTTGCAAAGAAGATTGTATATAGAATATCCGTATTCGTTACAAAGTCGGACCTAAAGATGGTGAAGTTGGAAATAATCGTGCATTTTGAGAGTGTTTGTTATTTTGTTTCCATATATAAGTTTCCATTCTATATAAAATCTTTGATCGACATTTTTTGTGGAATGGCAACACTATTAAACACAGTAGCTGTCATTGTATAAAAATACTAAATACAGAAGTTACGCCATCTCTTGGAAAATTCAGAAAACTGAGGTTATATACACCCAAAATACAATTGCATTCAACATTAAAGGCGTTCTAAAATCTTACAGTACAAGTATTGACCAAAAAGACTGAAAATGCAAAGAATTGTTTATTGATTGTAAACGACTTAAATTATTTTTGATATTTTAACACAATATATATCATAATTTCATTAATACAAATGTCTTGGCGTCTGTCCGTCCTTTTATTACATATAAAAAAGACTTTATACAAAATAAGTCAATAAAACAGAATTTCCAAAAAGGCAAGCATTGATAAAATATCGAAATATATAAGTAATATTACATTAAAAATAAATAAAATCGTATATGACTTGTTTTACTCGTTTTTATGTTAACTAAACACATATAATGGAATCAAAAATAATTAAATAAAAAATAATTAGCGTGTATTTTCTATAAATACATATTTGAATAGTAGAATCAATTATTTAAATAAATCAATATATGTTAATGTTACATAAATTATAAATTACTATAACAATAAATATTTTTATTACTGCATATTTCATTATTACCATACGGCAACACATTTTCACAATAAATAATTTAATACCTAGCGCATTGCCATAAGTAAATTTTGTAAACTGCGGCAACATAAGAAAATAATCGTAAAGAATAATAGTTTTTCATTTCTTTCTAAGTTGATATTAATTAGTATTTTTTTTATACATTTTAGTAAAAATAATTATATTATTATTAATATATTATAATTTAACTGCATATATTTTGTGACCTTTTAAAATACTTAATACACGTAAAAACTATGATAATATGTTCACAACAATGGCATGTATTTATTTTGAAATAATATAATCATTAATTAATTAATTTATTTGATAATATAAATATAATACAGAAAATATAATATTTAGTTGAAATTCAGTATTTAAACGAGTGCATAATAATTATGATGTATATTACTAACAAAAAAAACATAAAGATTTGATAATGCCTCTAAAATTATATAAGTATATTTATTGAAAATATAACCCAAAAGAACAAATCTGCTAAAACTGGTATTTTGCTTAAAAGAATTGGAAAACTATATGAAATTATTTAGTCAGCATCAGTCAACGGAATTTAAATAAATATGCTGTGTAAATTAAGATTAAAACCAATGCTTTAAATAAATTATTTTGTATAATAGTTGTAAATATAAAAACTGGGAAAAAATATATTACTTTTAGAGATTGGTCTTTTTGCAGTTTACTTTTTTCTATTTCATTAACATTATAAAATTATTTTTCATACAAATGATTTTTATTAACATTTCGAATACAAAAAAACTTATTTAAAAAAAAAAAATAAATTAAATTATGTTAGGGCTCGACATATAATAAATTAACTAAGCATAAAAGAGGAAAGAATACATCAACAACATAAGTAAAAACATTAAAATATTTTAAAATAATGTATATAAAATTAATAATGGAAAATAATCACATTCAAAAAAATGAAAAATAATATCGCCATATGTCATAGTCGCAGTGCTTCTATCATTTTATACGAATACGAATCATATTGTTACGATTTTTCAGAATAACATATTGCAATTTGACAAAACGATAACAAATATTGCTTAAAACCTATTCACACTGCATATCGGAATGTTATCCTAATTTTATTGCTAATGTTAATTTTTTTTTGAATGCGCTTGTAAACGATAATGCCGTATACTACTGCAATATATTATTTTTTATTATTTTACCTTCTGAGAACTATTTATATCACTACATTAATGTATTGTTGTAAATTATGAATTTAATTTTAAGTCGATTTTGTATTATTTAATTGTAGTTTTTATTGGTATATTTATATATAAAATCGAATTGTAATTTTTACTTGATTTTGTAACAAAGTGAATTAAAAATGATGAACAAGCAAAATTACAATCAAAATAATGATTACTTGCATTGTGTGAATAGGTTATTATATGACATATTAAAGAAATGTTAATTGTACTTAAAGTTTTATTCATTAAACCGAGCTATTAACCGGAATTTGTTTCTATTTAATTAAATTTTAAACAGATAATCTTAATTTCCATCTAATTTTTTTAATTTGCATTGACTCTTATATTCTTTCCATATTGCAAATTAGAAATTTAAGTGAAAAGTCTCTATAGGAAAATAATTTTGTAAAACAATTGTTAAAAATTTTTAAATTGTTCGAATTATAATATAATAAATATATTCATTCATTTTTATACATAATTAAGATATTTTAATGTAAAATATCTATGAACTCAACTATTAAATCAAAACAATTTATAGTTAATCGTCAGTTAACTACAATAGAAAATAAATAGGTTACTGGCTCCTAAAGAAACGGAACACTCCGTCAGTTGTTGATTTTTGTGTTGGTTTGTTAACTAAGAGAAACAGCTAAAACTATTTAGGTCGTGTGCGAGTTAGGCTAAGTTGCGTACTAAATGAGGGAAATTCTAAGTTGTGTCGATAATGTATTGATGTGTCGATACGTGTTGATAAATGGCAAAATGTGTGCAGTGCAAAAAATCCCAAATAATCTCCCATTTGGTTTAGCATCAACTTAGCCTAACTCGCACACGACCTTAAGCTAATGAAATTAAGAGTTTATTGTTTACTTTGGCATGAGCTGATTTATGCATGTAAAATAGCGTATTTGTTTATATTTTACATATAAAAGATATAATAAATATTTTTAATTTTGTTAATTCCGCTTGTGGGAAACTTATTTTTTAGGGTTGCATTTGTCATTTTTTACTTTAAATCAGTTGATTTATATATAATTTATGTAATATAAATTATTAAATATTATTTATATTTATTTATAATTAAAATATTAAATCATTTATATACATTGTGTATATCAATTACGTGGTCAATTTATAAAAACAAAGATTTTATTAAATACTTTCTTTCCCGTGCATTTGTTTACAGCTCAGATGTTGTTTGTTTTTGGTAATTTTCTTCATGGGAAATTTTATTTCTAAGGGTTGCATTTGATATTTTTCGCCTTGAAAGATTTTTGTATAATATGGTATGGTGTTATATGAAAGATTTTTGTATGGTAAATCATCCTCATTAGTGGGTATAATGAGAATAACCGCCTAAATGAAATAGCGTGAATGTGCTATAAGACTTAATGCATTCTAAAATGAATTCTTTCTTATTTGTTTTAGTTAATTATTAATAACATATGTGATTACTTTTCCAATAAGTTTAAACTAAAAACGCAGCATATAAATGTAAACTTTCAACATATTAATTATAAATTTTTTTCTGATTGGATGTTAAAATTCAGTAATTCAGTCAGTCAGTAAATGATAGATTGTTGGCCACACACATTTGCTTGCAGCCCTGGTTCGAAACCAATGAAGAAATAATGCAGTGCTTGTCAGAATGTGGTAGGCAGCAATGCAGAGTTTGAAAGAATCCAGTGAAAGAGGAATGAAAAACCGCTGTTTTTCTTTTCGTCTGCACGTCAAAGTAAAATAAAAACGAAGTTAAGATATTTCTGTGATTTTAATTGTATGTTAAACGTTTCTAAGTAAAAGAAAGTGATTATAATAAGTGCAACTTGAAAAAAGCAATTAGGCAAGTAAAGTCATAAACATTTTCAGTAAAACGTTGCGTTTTTGGCTAAACCATTGTTGTGTGTGTCTATTATGTATGCTACGGTTCGTGTGTTTGTACGCGTTTAGTGTATGTGTTAAAATTTTGCAAACTATACCGACTTTAAAGAAATTGTACAGTATTAATTGTGGTAAATAAAACTGAGATACGAGTACGAAAAAATAAGAAGTTTCCAAACAATAAAGTGACGGATTTGCATGATTTTATATTGCAGAACATTTTATAAAAGTTTCATAGAATTTTGCATATTTTGCTTCAAGGCTACTAAAAGAGTTCTGCTCATAGCGACGTCGACGTCGACGACGGCGTTTTTACCATTTACAAGTTCATACGCTTTGTGTTAGTTTAATGCGGCATGAGTTAGAACTTAATTGATTTTTTAATGATAAAATCGATTAAATAAAGTTGTTAAGAAGTTTAAAATAAAAAAAAATTTATTTCAATTATAAATTTGCAATAAATTTATCATCGTCTGCTGTCGTTTCTTTTGTCTGCCTTTTGTGTTTGTTCCCAAAATGGCCGCTAACATCTTCTCTGCTACTGTTTTTGCAGCAAAAATTGATTCCTGTGTGCTTTTAAACTCAGTACAGCAATTGAATTTTGCGTGAAGCTCGCAATTCCCAATATAACAATTAGCATAAAATATATGACTATTTCCAGCAGCTTCTGTCAACAGGGCTAGTAAGTCTGAAACTATTTTTTAAATATGATTTTGTAATGAACTATACGCATCCGTATTTATCACCCTCTGGTGCATACGTTAAGTTAAGGACTTAATTATGAAGACAGCAAGCATGTCTGAAGGACTTCATGTGTGTTTCTTTATGAGTGGACTTTGCAATTTGATAGAGGTTTTATCATTGTTCATTGTGTACATAAATTGCGCATCTGTGAATATATAAATATATTAATAAAGAAAAATTTTGTATTTAAAGGTTTTAAGAACAACGTTGATTTTCACCTTTAAACGCTTCTAGTACACAATTATGTCTTCGACATCGGCGGCCAGCGGAAGTGGGGGCAGCGGTAGAGATGCTGGGCGTAGTGGACGTAGTGGTGGTGGACATAATACTGGCATTGGCAATAGCGCTTCGGGCAGTTCAAGTGCCAGTAGTGTCTCAAATGAAGAGGCACGTCGAGACTCAAAACCAAATCCTAAAATATCGAAGGCACTAGGTACATCAGCTAAGCGTATACAAAAAGAGCTTGCCGAAATCACACTTGATCCGCCACCAAATTGCAGCGCGGGCCCTAAAGGCGATAATTTATATGAATGGGTGTCCACCATTTTAGGACCACCCGGATCAGTATACGAAGGAGGCGTATTTTTCTTGGACATTCACTTTTCACCCGAATATCCATTCAAGCCACCGAAAGTTACATTTAGGACACGCATATATCATTGCAATATAAATAGCCAAGGTGTTATATGTTTAGATATACTCAAAGATAATTGGTCACCAGCTTTGACTATATCGAAGGTCTTGCTATCCATTTGTTCCCTGCTGACTGATTGCAATCCTGGTAACTATTTCATTATTTTATTATATATTCAACACACATATATTGTTAATAATATATTCATAACACATTATTCTTAAAATAGCGAAAAGTCAAGAGATAAAAAGACACTCAATTAAATCTTAACAAATAATTATAATTAGAACTAAAAAATAAATAAAATAAATTAAAAATACCAAAATACAAGTTTGATAATTGCAATAAATAACATTAAAAAAGAAACAATGAAGATTATTTGAAAAATAATAATATAAAAATATATTTGAATAAAAGAAGAGTGCAATTGTTACATACTATTTTCTTTATTTTGCCATTATTAGCTCAAAGTTAATAATAGAGACGAGAATATAATAGAATAATTCATCAAAATATGTATAATCTATACAATTAATTAGAGAGAAAATTAAAACACAGTGAAAACACTTTTAAAATTTTTTTCGGGTCAACAATTTATCTATACCAATTTTTTTTTTTTTATCATTATTTGAACCATTTTGTCACAAAAAAAAGTTAGCTGAGGGGCAAGTACCCAGTAAAGAAGGTTATCATTATATATTGTAAATTATTTTAAGCGAATACCGGTGGGACCAGCCATTCTGCAAGTGTAATACGCTTTGATAGTGTTGAACGGCATTTGGTCGTCGAACTCAAGAAATGGGGCATAGATTCAGCCGTTCTGCTTCAATCTACACACCTAATTAAGTTCAAATGATCCTTGAAACCATCCAATTAAACAGACTGTGTTTCTTTCTACCTATTCACATACTAACTCATGTACAAATCTTTGTAATTCCTTGTTATTTGCATTATAGATCTCTGCGGGCTACAACAATAGGCAGACGTTTTCTTCGTTCAAAGCGAAAGTATTTTTCTTCAAAAGAACTGGCTTTGTGTAAAAATAGTAGACTAGTAACATTGCAGAGAGGTGCCTGTGTATGATTACGTCCATTTAATATAACTTTTATTGCATATCTTTACATATATGTTCCTTCATTTTGTACATTACATGTGTATTAATTTTATTTTAGTTTTGTATCTATTCTATTCTATCTATCCTTGATGAAGAATTTGTATCTATTCTATAATCTATTCTTGTGAGAGGCCAATGTTCCTACTGGACTGTAGTGCCAAATAAGAAGAAGATCTATTCTGCATTTTCAATTTAATCACTTAGTTTTTTGATGATGGTACAAATCATTAGATCCTATTGATTGATATGATTTACAGTCATTTTTTTATGGATTATTACTTAATTTTGTGACTTTATTTTAATGTTAGTGTTATCTCTATGGGCTTTATATGAATCTTGACTAACCTATGTAATGTTTGCTTAGACATTACGTTATGGAGACGTCGGAAAATATATAAATTGTATAGATTTTTTTGTCATCATGCGAAAGTCGAATCGATTTAGCGTAGGCCATTTGTTTTCTGTCGGATCCATATCCATTTGTCTACATAAATATCAGCAAATCAGTATTTTAGTTTTTGCGATAACTGATTGAAATTTTATATAGGATGCTGATTTGTAAAATTCATAATTTATTCAAAGGATTTTAAATCCTTTATTAGGAAGAACTAGTTTTAAAGTACTTGCAGTACTGGAGAAAATATTTTATTTCTTTGTACTTTTGTTGAATGGGAAATGTTATATTGTTACAATTGTTTAATTCTTTTTGAGAATCTAGTTAAAATATCTAGTTAGTCTAATTAAGAGGTATATATATATAGATGCACATATAAGCATTGATAATAGTTTCTCATAAGTTGAACATAAGAAGACTTCATCATAAATATAATGTAGATTTTAAAATAATGAAGCTATTATTCTTAGCTGTTATTACTAGGTATCCACTTAGGTTTAATGGCAATCAGTGTGACTAATAAATAAACAATTACAACATAATAATAATAAAAATAAATAATTTGTGAAGGGTTTGAACAGTAATAAAAAAACAATAACAAAATTTTAATTAATTTATTGAAATTTACCTGACTCATCATCAGTGATCTTTTACTTGGCACTATTGTATCAGTCAAATTTCAATAAATGAATCAAATGTTTGCTGTTGTTTTTGTCATTACTGTTCTCGAACCCTTCTAGTTCTCGAAACTATCACAGTGGTTTCAAATATATTGCAATATGTGTGTAAATTCTGAATAAATTTAATATTAATTATCATTTATTATTTAAAAAATATTTCTATTGATTCATCTAAACATTTCTTCCTATTTGAATGTGCATTAATATATTTTTATTATTTTAGCCGATCCTCTTGTTGGCAGCATCGCCACACAGTATCTACAAAATAGAGAGGAACATGATAGAATCGCCAGACTTTGGACTAAGAGGTACGTTAACATTGTACAATAAGGATGAGTGCTTTTTAAATTAATATATTTAAAAAAAAAATAATGAGAGACTACCACCATTTATATCAAAGCGGCTAGTTCTAAAATACGCCATTAGAATACTCTTTTTTTATACATTAAGTTGGGTTGATCTAATTTTTGATTGTAGGAAGAATATTTTAAAACAAGAAGTCAATTTTAATAGCAAAAAATATTTTATACATTAAGACTGAAAAGTTTTCGGAAATTCTCATTTAAAATTCGCGCGCTGTATATTTTTCGATATTTTAAGTTTATGTAGTTTGGCAGCACTGTCCTTAATTACTATGCCAAAAATGAGCGCGATCTGTCAGACAGTTCGTTTACGGCAGCTGTTGAAACCAGTTCACCTCAGTAGTGCGTTGCGAAATGTCTTCGACGGTCGTACGACCGTCCTGAAAGGCTTTGTACCACTCATAAACTTGAGTTTTCGATAAAACTGATTCCCCATAAGCCTTTTGTAGCATTCGCAACGATTCTGCACACGAAATTTCGTTCGAAACACAAAATTTGATGCAAACTCTTTGTTCAATATTTTTTTCCATTGTTTTTTTCGCAACGCACTACTGAGGTGAACTGGTTTCAACAGCTGCCGTAAACGAACTGTCTGACAGATCGCGCTCATTTTTGTCATATTAATTGTCCTTAATTGCTGCCAAACTACATAAACTTAAAATATCGAAAAATATACAGCGCGCGAATTTTAAATGAGAATTTCCGAAAACTTTTCGGTCTTAATGTATATATGGATTTTTACTTTAAAGTAATTTCTTTTCCTAATTTTAAATTCCTATGTTCGTATATATCTAAGGGAATTTTTTCACTTTTTCACAAAAATCTTCAACATTTTGTCACTTCTGTTTATGAATTTAAAGTAATTTTCATTGTTATAAGACATTTCGTTTAATATAGTATACATATTTATATATCTTTTATATATCTTTTGAATTTTGAAACAGCACAAGGGTGTATTCCAAAGTAAACAAGATTTTTCGTTTATAAAATTTAATAATAACTTATAATTATTTTATTTAAAATAATTTCTTCCTGATACAATACATTGTTTTTACATAGTTTTACAATCTTGATTTAGTATTCTAGATATCTTTAGTACTTTTTAGATATCTATTAAAAGGCTAATTGAAAGAATTCATTATTTTTTTCGAAAATATGAAAGTCCAAGGTGTCGAATCAAATAAGAAATGGGTGGTGATTATTGACCTTGACAATAGGTGACTTCAATACAAATATTTTTAAAAAAAATTTTAGTTTTGAAAAGTTAAGCAGTATTTGGTTTGGGGTGAATAATAGTAATAGACTTACTAATATGTGACAAGTACCTGCTCAGTACATGACTGTGTTCTAGCCCAAGTTTAGCCAGTATCCCCCAGAGTTTCCAACTTACATGGTATGTGTTTTGCTAGGATCCGTATCAATATCCTTCTAAAAAATTAATATTATTAAGAGCAGAAATACAGTATTTTACGGACGAATGGTCCTAATGGCGTAGACAAAGGTTTAAGAAACCCTGCTCTACTGTACTGACAACACAGTTTTGTTGTTGTGTTTGATAAGATATTTTTTCGAAAAAATAATAATTTTTAATAATTAGATTTATATATTATTATATACTAATGTATTTTTTTAAAAACTATTAATGCAAAAAATTAAAATTAATTTCATCCTTTTTCTTATTACAGATATGCAACATGATTTCTCTACTTAAGAATCAACTAATTCACGAATATTTGCAACATAATTGCAAATATAAAAATTATTATTAAATAAAGCGTAATATAAAAAAAAAACATTTAAAAAACAAAAAAAAAAATTATAAATTTATCCTATCATAAAAATAATCACCAACAATTAATTATAAAGTAATAAAGTAAAAGTCGATAGAACGAATGGTCATTTTATATATATAACTATTATCCTATGAGCAAGGCGAAAAAACATTGACTCCACAAGGAATCAAATTCAGTTAAGTTAATATACAAATAAAGAAAATAATGTATAATATTGTTTATATTTTGTAATTAATTTTATGTGTAATTTTACTATTTACTTTTAAATGTTTTACATATTATTTTGGAGCGTTTGTGGCTGGCTATATTTTGTTCTGTACTGATAAAATAATAATACATAATTAAATTTAAATAATATCCAATTAATTTTTTGCATTTAAGCAATCAATTCGAATGTGTTCAGCTAATTTTTAGATGCTCCTGTTTTGTAATTATATTTGTTCGTATATGCTTTAACAGATTATTTTTCTATGTTTTCTCTGAATATGTATATATGTATAAATATATATATATATACATATATTTATTTTTGTTCATGGTTTCTTTGTTTGTTTATTTTGTTTATTTTTAAAATTAAAATTCAAATTCACATGAATGAACCAAGTAAATTATTTTTGTTTAATGTATTTTGTTTAATATATACGAAACTTTAATTTAATGTAAAAATATTATTAGGTTTTTTATTATAGAAAGAAGCTGATACCTTAATGTAACTAAATTTATATAAATAAATGTGTGTAAATCTCCCAATGAAATCTTTAAAATCGACACTTCAATATAATGCTTATCATTTTAAAAAGACAAAATATTCAAAATATTTTTTTAAATATTTTTTTAAATATTTTTTTAAATATTTTTTTAAATATTTTTTTAAATATTTTTTTAAATATTTTTTTTTGCTTAATATTACTTAATGAAAACATTAGTTATAATAATTTAAAAATACGAATACATGAGATATTATACATCAATTTGAAATTAAAAACAACAGCAGCAATAAACTGAAGAAATCCAAAAAAAAAAAAAAATAGCTAACAATATATAGATATTTCTCAATTCTTCCAAAAGAAAGTGTCTTGTAGGATTATACTTCTCAGCATGTACCTTCTGCTCAAAAAGTACTCGGATTTTGTAAATAAAACACACAAACTTAAATTTTATTCCAAATTTATTTTATCTCCTTCAAAATATGCTCCTTCTGAAGCGATACACATATGCCAACGCTTAACCCAATCTTCCATACACTTTTCGTAGGCCCGTGCAGGCATGGCTTTTAGTTCCTTCAACGAATTATCTTTTACCGATTCAATCGACTCAAAATGCTTACCACGAAGGGGCAATTTGAGTTTCGGAAACTGGAAAAAGTCGCACGGCACCAGATCTGGCGAATATGGTGCCTTAGCGATGATAGTAGTGCCGTGTTTGGTCAAAAAATCGCGTACAACAAGAATTTTTCATAGTAAAAATCGCTAAATGCACTTGAGTCTCACATTAACAGCTGCTGTAAACAAACTAAGTGACAGTTGGCGCTCAAATTTGTACCATATGTCAAGAAAGGATGTACGAACATAACAAAAAATTTTTTGAAAAAAGTCTATTACTTAAGGAGTAGTTAACAAACAACAAAATTCGGGTACTTTTTGAGCAGAAGGTATATGTAATGGAAGTAGAGAAGAAAAACCAACTGAGATATTAGCTACGTCTCAGCAAACAATGATCTGTATATTTTTTTACTGAAATACAGTATGGATCACAAATGAAACTAATTGGCAACGCATAATAATTATGTTTACCACACCAAAGTGCTTGTTTATTGCCTGTTTTGTATTCATACTGTACCGTATCATATGATATCATCGCATTTTTCATTAATCACGTTTCACTTTTAATTTGCACATACATTATACATTGTACCAGAATGTGAACCAGCTCAATTTATAGTTCACCGCAATGTTTCATATATTCGTTGTTCACGTCATTGTTTGTTAAAATACAGATATAGATTGAATGTAATTTGTAGTGAAAATACCTAATACTAATACTTTCAAATTATTTGAAATTTTGAATTATAAGGACGTGAATAATTTTGTCTTACCTATTGTGTTTCAAAATAATATGTCAATGAACTGATCAAAGGTATTGCTTCAAAATGTTGCGCCCGTCTGCCATCGCATGTCGCATGTTGACTATCTTCATGCAGAATCTAAAATGCATCTTGTAATAGAACATGACCAACTACTGTCCAAGCAACATTGTCTTGTTCCCATTGAATGGGAACATTTTTGATAGGTTGTTCTCTTCAAGATGCATTCGTCTATCTCTTTCTGCATATCATAGATATATCGATACTTATCGCAATAAAGTTAATATCGGTGAAGTCAAATATATACGTGGACTAACAGCTCTTTACACAGTTACAGTATCTACTTCGAGACCAACGTTGCACTGCAACAAAGTTCTCAATAGGTCCGTGCCTGATATTCCAGGTAGAACAACGCCTTCCCCACGCAGTAAGAACTATTCTAACTCAATTGGGAACGCGATAAAGCTTAACAATTGTCATGTATAATACATTAATCCTCAATTGTAGCTCTTTTTTTCATGAAGTTGTTTTTTTTTTGGGTATAGGATTAGTTTGGGTTCAAAGCTCTAACTTGTTTATTGAGATTACATAAAGTAAATATATTTCTAAATATATCGTTGTACCTAATTCTAAATACAATTAGAATATTATGTCTCCAATTTCAATTACTCTAAACAATTATTTGTATGGCACGAATGTTAAATTTATTTTGATTATAAGATTTGATATGAAAATATAGAATTTTATTTTTTTTTTAATCGATTATAAGTACATATGTAGTCCTTACTTTTGACAAAATAATACTTAACTTCATTTGTTTAGTGGGTTCAGTCTTTGACAATTGCAAGTTGGTGTTTTGCCTTTAATATTTAAATAAATTTTTTTAAGAGGTTTTCGAACAGTAGTGAACTACAGCAACAAAAATTCTTTTTTATATTATTTTAATTAATTGAATTTTTGGCTGACCATACAGCTGTTTCAGGTATTGCCAAATAATCATCATCAGTGGTCTTGGAATTACTTCTTGTATTTAATTATTCGTAAATAAATTTTTTTATAAGATTTATGTCATATATATATAAATAGTCGCAATCTACAAAAAATTGTTTTAACCTCTGTTGATCTCTTTTACAGTAATAGGAAGTTATTTTTGTTGTTGATATTAAATTGTTTATATTAGTCTGATGAAGTGATAAACAATAATCCAATCAAGGCGTAAAGAGGGGTTTTGAAGATATCTCAAGTTAATGAAGAGTAAAAGTGCTCAAGTGCACTGGCTCAAATAGCTTCAACATAATAATAGAAATAAAAAAATTATTTGGATGTTGATACAGAATATACTTTTAATGTCAATAATATTCAAAATATCATATGTTGTGTATCATGTATTGTCTATCATGTATTGTCTATCATATATTGTCTATCATGTATTGTGTATCATGTATTGTCTATCATGTATTGTCTATCATATATTGTCTATAATGTATTGTGTATCATGTATTGTCTATCATGTATTGTCTATCATGTATTGTCTATCATGTAGTGTGTATCATGTATTGTGTTCCAGTGTTCTTTGAAACAAGCACTAAAACATATATCATCTACATGTTTTTGTATTTTGTTCTTTAAGTGATTATTTAGTATTGATATTTCGAGCTTTCATGGATGCATACTCTAACATTCAGTCTTACTCCCAGCGCAGAATAAAAAGGAATAAAAATTTTTTGCGTTTTGTACTAATAATTTCAGTCTTCCATATGTTACCCCATTTCATCACTTATCCAATGTCATATTTAATTTTATTTGCATGAGATAAAGGAATATATTTATGATATAGCCATGATAAACCGTTAATGATATTAGCTAACATATATATATAGAGAGAGAGAGATAGAGCTAGATAAGAGAGAGAGTCAGAGTGTAAAAGGGTGTGAGAGAGTGTTTGGTACTACTTAAATTATTAAAATAAATAAATTATTTCATATTCTTAAAATCTTTATATGTAGCTATGTGAATTAGGTTGTACATCCTTTCTTTATTAATTAATTATTTCACGGCAAATGCAAATCATCAGTTAATTGTTGTTGTGTTGTAATATTTAGACTGTCCTTGTTGTCATATCCATGTGTATTTGTAACGAAATTTTTAATGTCGTACATAATACGATAGATTATTCACGATCTCGCTTTACGAGCCTAGTAATCGAGTAACATAGAAATAGTGCAAAGTACCATTCGAGTATTATATTATTCGTTTACCGAGCTCGAGATCGTGAATACTCCTAAAATCTAAAATTAATTCGACTTATTTGTTTATCAGTTAAAAACACTTAAGACTTAAGATGAAAGTATTCAAATTATAAAAATTGATGTGAAAGCAAAAATTGTATCTTACAGAACTTAAATGTAAAACTTAAAATTTTATAGAAAATAATTGTAAAATTAATAAAGAAAAAGAAAAACGCTAAGACTTAAAAAACAAATGACAAAATATCTGACTTTTTTTTTTAAATATAATTTTTTATTTTTAATTTTTTCGAAATATAATTTTTCTCTTCAGTGTAGTTTTTAAATGTGATATTTTTGGCGTTTGATGAAATTACTAAGGCAAAAACAAAATTAAGCAACAAAAATAAATTGCAACAAAATACGAATTTGCATATAAACTTGCTAAAGAACATATATATATATATATATATGTATATATATATATACATACAAAATAAGTATAACGTAAAACTGTAATTTTAATTTAATTGTAATGTAATAATTTAATTATAATTTCCTACTTTTTATAAATTAATTTTCCTATATAAATTAACAAATGAAAAAGGAAGAAAGTTAAATAATGAAATGATTAACGTGTCAAGATGTAATAGTAAAAAAACTCTCGCAGTAAAAAAAAAGAAAGAAATTTTCTCAAATTAAAATTTTTAATTAACATTGATGTGTAATAAATAAAAAAAAAAAACAAAAAATATATATGAAAAATAAAAAACCCAAAAAATGTTAAAAAATATAAAACTAAAAAATTTTTGTAAGAATTTCTTTTTATTTTGCTATTTTTTTTTTATTATGTGAATTAAAAATAAGTTATTTCGCTTTCGGTAAGGTACCGTATCAGTAGAACAGAACTGTTGCTGTTGATAGGTAATCTGACGTATTTTTCTTGTTGTTAACATTAGGTCTGTTCCACGAGTTCCTCGTAGTAAAACTCAAGTAAAACAAAAGTAAAGTACAAACTGAAAGCGTAACACAAATAAAGTGCCATATTACGCCCTTTACAGAGATTTTCATGGAACAGCTTTGTGTAAAATTTGGTGAGAACACCAGTGCCGCGCAAATAAACAATACAAAAATTTGAACTCAAACCAAAACGCCTGATTCACACATCAAAACAAATTTTACTTGAAATAAAATATACGAGTAAAGTCTGTGTAGCATTTTCAAATTTCGACAGGGATCTTACGCTCACTCAGATGCTCTCACTTACTCGAAAATTTTTGTAGGACACTTTTATATTCAATATTTTTATAAGGTTTCAAAACGTTGGTCAAAACATTCGTCATGGTATGACCAAAAAAAATCGCCCTATTTTAACATGCAGAGGTTCGGCAAAATTTAAGAGTTTTCCTGGCTACACTTAACATAAATGTTTTAATTGACTTTGATCTATCTTGTTTAACTGATAGACTTGTTGATTTGATTCATTGCTTCCTGCTTAAATACCAATCAGAATTATAATATTTAAAATGCTTTATCGAAAAAATCAACGCCTACGAAACCAATAACAACTTACGAGGCTTTAGAGTTCATGAACTTCATCTACTTAGGTGTGAAAATTCTTACCACAACCGAGCAACCTCTTTTTATTAGTTCCCGTCGATCCTATGTGAAGCAAAGATCCATAATTAGATTCTTCCGTTCCCTTCTGTTGGATGCAGCCGTCTTCACTTCTCAAAGATTTTCCAATGGTAGCAACTTCAATACCAAGTTGCCTGCGTCATGTATGAGCCGTCCTCTTCGTTGGCTTCCTTGCGCATTCCCATCTATGGCCATGTGGGTAATCACGTCTTGGGACCTCCATAGTATGTGGTCTAACCAGCTCCACTTGCGCATGCGTATCTCCTGAGAAGACTCTTTTTGCTTTTTGTTGTCAAAATATAAGCAATATTTGACGCAGACATCGATTGAAGAGGGTTTACAGTTTTTGTGTATTTCGTAATGATCTATTATACGATTCGTACTAATAGAACAACGTCGATTTAACGCTGGAGTTATAAATATTCAATTTTGTACGGGTAGAGAGGTTACGAGTCTTCCATACTGGCATGAATCGCCCATACGCTTATCTTGCTTTTTGAATGTGATTAGCAATGCTCAAACTGCCTCCTCCGCTGCTAGTAAAAACTGCCAAGGTAGCAGATATTGTTGCTGTTGATTACTCATATTGATGCACAGTATTTTTGTTTTCGCACAGTTGAAGTTTAGCTGCGTCCGAAAGTTTGTGAAGTTTTTCTAACATATTTTCATAAGAGTGGGTTAGAAGACAAATATCATTGGCATGATTAAGGTCTCCTAGTCATTCTTGTGAATAACGTAGGGACCACGAGTGATGATTTATCGCTTTCTTCATTATTTTGTCAAGGACGATGTTGAATAACACCGGGGAAAGCACGCAATGTTTTCAGTAACATGATCAGGCTATATCTAGGTAGTTTTATGTATCATTTTATGTGAAAACAGTGTGTCGTCTATTACTAAGTTGTTTGCCGCGCACATTGCAGTGAGTAATTATCCATTCTCCATTATGTGGTTCCTATTGTTTCTAGAAGATTATTGTTGTCTGCACTAACCTGTGTAATAAAGTCGCCGATTACTATAAGAATATCTCTTCGGTTTGCAGTAAAGATTGTTCTATCTCTTTTATCATAAAATTCTTTTTTAATAGCAAATATAATTCTCATACTGTTTTCTCATATTTTTTTATATATAGCAATAGATAACTTAATAATATAGTATTTATCACTAATATAATTTATGTTACATATTATGTTTACCCAAAACAAATTTACTATTTTACTTGATATTATAAGGTTCTTCAGTTGATTTGTTATTCGTTCACATATTTTTTTTGTATTTAATGCGGGATACGTTTTAGAAATAGCGCAAGTATATAGCTAAAATCTACATAGAAATTTAACCCTCTTTAGTATCTCTAAGAACCAATAGGTCTATATGTGATTAAGACCCTGCCAGATTTACCTAACGTATCCTATTAATATATTAATGTTTATACCTTTCGTGAACAGTTCGCACCAGTAGCAGCAACGCAATATAAAAATTATCAGTTGAATTTATGTGAATTTGGTTGTGGAGCGACCAGTTCTGCGCTCTTTCATTCAGAGCCAGTTCTAAAAATACTTACCACAACCAAGGAAACTCTTTAGTTATTTAATAGCACCTATGCTTGTAATGTTCTTAAATTTTCTAAAAATATATGATTTAATGGTAAATATAACCAGACATTTTTTGATATCGAATCAGTCTATTTTGACGCCAGTTAGATCGTTCTTGTTGGATCATATAAATTATTATCTTAAACTTCTTGTATTTGCAATACTAACATCCCCCCTTTCTAGTTTACTTTCACGTCTGTAACTTTACCAGTCATGCTATTCCGTTAATTTAAACCGAATAATCTTATTTTTTTCAACATCCAAGATTATTATAGATGAAATTCGTGATTGGTTCATTAGTTTTGCTAATAGAATATTGGACTTCAATCAAGCGAGCATGAACGAACAACCCTGTACTCGTTCCTTTTGAACTAGTAGCTGGCATGTGCTAGGAATAATCTCAAACAAAGCTCAGATATTGATGAATTATGTGCAATTTAAATATAATTCCTTTAATCGATTTCATTGAAACAAAAACAATATTAATTTTTATTTAACATAAATTTTATATTTAATTTTTTATGATTATAAAATTGTTATTTTAATGAAATTTTTTCAACAAAATTTTTCACTGTCCTTGTTTTCTAATTTATTCCTAAAATTACTGTAATTGTGTTTCAATATTCCTTAATCCATTTATTTGACTAACTTAAAAAGAAATTTTTGAAATTTCTCTTCAACTTAATGTAGAAAAATTCTGCATTGATTTTAATTTAGTGCAGATACATCCATGATATATATATGCATGTGTATATATATATGTTCAGTTTTTTTCTCTTTATAAAAGAAGAAAACATCAGATTAGATCAGTTCAAAGGAAACATGTGTGTAGGTAAATACATAAATATATATGCATATGTTATATGAATATTTGTGTATGTGTTATTAGTTATTTTATATAAGTATGTATATACATATATAATTATATATGCATTTATGACTATATATGCAGTTATATGTTTCTATATACGTTTTGTCTGCACATATATTAAGCTAATACAAAAACTATTTCATATGATTTTTAGCAGTACTTGTATTCCGTGCTCTCTCCTAAGCTCTCTTCAAGAAGCTTATAAATACATGCCATTGACCAAGAAGTCGGCTTCATACGAATATGGCGTCTTGCCGCCCAGTCGTCGTGCTCGTCGGCCAACAGTGCGCATACGACAACCGATTAGAATAGCTAATGCAGCAGTGATTAAGAGACCCAACGTAAGCGATAATACTGCTCCGCCAGGTCTTTCAGATTGCCCGTCGTGATCCCGAAATTCCATCATAAGATTTTCATGTATGATTTTGTATTGTTCATGTACTGGTAAGGAGGACGGAGCCACTATATGGGCTTTGTGAACTGGTGGCAACTGTTGCGGTTGTAGAATTGGTTGATGTTGTACAATTGATTGTTGTCCTTGCAATTGTTGTTGCTTTTCTAATGTCTGCTGCTGATGTTGTTGTTGCTCTAAAGCTAGCTCAATGGGATCCTTTGATTTTATTGTCTCTAAAATATCAGATGTTTTACCTGCCTGAAGTTTTTTGTGCTTGCGTTGTTTCTGTAAATAAGAAGAATTGTTGAAAGTTGTAGTCACAGAACAAGCATTTATATTCATTTATTAGAAGGAAAAAAAAATATAAAATGTAATTAATAGGTTTCGAACAGTAGTGAATTGTAACAACAAATTTTTTTTTATCGTAAAGTATGACATTCTCTGTATAATGTTCCTAGATTATGTTTTATACATGAGAAAGAATAATATAATGCCTGTAGATGTAGGCTGTTGGATGTAGAGGGTAAAAGTATGTGCCCTAATGGGGGCGTGAAGCGAAAACATAGCCTAGCATTCCCAATTACCAATCTCGACGACTCGTGGTGCATCCTGTTTTCATAAACAAGGCTCTGGCGACTGAGTACAGGCGGTATAACCTGAACACCTGTTGAAGAGAAAATGTTCCAATTCTTAAACACCAACACCAAAGCAGGTTTAGAGACTCAGCTGGCGATCCCAGCACCAAACTTGGGTGCATTGGACCAATGACCCGTGTACCTAAACTATTTGATTACTACCGAAATCACAAGATGTCGCCCATTTCTCTTCATAGAATCTACGGGAAGTAATATATGTAAATAATGCCTCCACAAAAGAATAGTATTGAAATTTAACTACTAATGGTATTGAACAATAACAATAAAATATATATAATTAACAATTTAACAATTAAAAAATAAATATAATTAATTAATTTAATTATTCTACAGCTAGCTTATTATTTCGTTCTAATATAACACAGCAAGTGAAGTTGTTAATCAACTTTTACTGCAAATTAATGAAAACTCTAAGTTCGAAAATACAAGTCAAGTACGGTTTTAGATTAGTTGGCTAATAAACACTGACTCTGAGCTTCAAATTTGGCAGGGCACGAGTTCAACCCTTGATAAATACGAATAGTTAATTATAAGAAATAACTCCAAGACCACTGATGATGGGTATTTGAATACTCGAAACAGTTGTATGGTCAGCCATTTCGTTCCATCTCTTATAAAATCTTGAGAACTACGGATGATATTATTATCTATTCATAACTTACATATAATACATTCAATAATAAGTGAATAGCGTCTCAAAATTCAACATGTCTCATTATTGTTTTAGGTAAAAGGTATACATAACATGTTAACAAATAATAACCTTTCTTGGGGGTTCTGTTGATTTTTCCTCATATTCTTCATATTCTTCTGCTTCGTTTGTTAGTATATTGCTTAAATCCCCTTTCTTCGTTTGAACAATAACATTTTCGACTGGAGTTTGATATGCAACTGATGTAGCTACCGGTGCTTTCACATTTCCATCGGTATCAGCAACTCCATTTGAAATTTCCGAGTTAACGACGGCTGCTGAGGCAGTTAGTGTTTGGGACGGTTCTAGTATTTGTTGCTGCTGTAGTTGTTGTTGTTGTTGTGTAATGACATCACTCAACATTTGTTGTTGTTGTTGTTGTTGCATCATTGGTTTTACTTGTGCTGATTGTATTACATGTGGTGCAGCCTGTTGTGGTGTATTTATAATGTAGGCTGGCCCTTGAGATTGTGGAATAACAATTGGTGACATTGGCGTAGCGACAGTTTGTTGCTGGTGTTGTTGTTGTTGTTGTTGCCAGTTAATACTTGATGGTAATATTATATGACCTGAAAGTAATATAAAATTATAAAAATAGATCAAAATTGTTAAGTAATTACACGAGTAAATGTGTTCAAAACATTTTTAGAATGAAATTATAGGTCTTACCTTGAGGAGTTAAGAGATTTTGTTGTGGGGCCATGTAAATTCCTCCATTTGTTGCTTCTTGTCCCTGTGGTACATAAACACCATTTCTTTGTAAAGAGTTTGAGGTATACATTGAATTCAAGTTTGGATTATTGTTGGAATAAGCAGACAGTATACCGGAGTTAGTCAAGTGCAGGCTATTGCTGTGTCTTAAATGATTATTGACATCTGTAGTATGAATGAAAAAATTGCTATCATATTATCATGGCTATTTATAAAGAAGTAAAAAACGAGTTGATGTAAAAAAAAAAAAAAGAATACAATAGATAAGAAATTACCATTATCATAGATACTTGGAGATTATAACGAATGTTCACATTTTCGATTACTAAGGTACTCTAATAAGTAGTCTACTATATTTAACTAAGGACCTTATCAATAGGTAAAGTTTGATCGGTTTAAAACCGATTCAGTTCAGAACTAGTTTATGGTCTAGGTTTATTTCTAGGCTTATTATAAAAAATAATAGTTTTTAAAATAAAAATATTGATTTGTGAAGTAAATGTAAAATTTTGGATATATACGTAATATACTGGGTTATTATCATTCAATATTCTATTATAGTTAATATGTGAATCATAAACCAAAAACTGTTTTGATCGATATTAAGAGAAAGCTTTTTGTTATCTGGGGCGAGTTATTTGGATAACCGAAATGGTATCGAAACGATTTTCTTTTATCGTCAATTTTAGCTCGGAGTATTGTCAGAAGTTGTAAGAATCCAAATTAGAAGATGATGCTTTTATTAATTAAGAATTAAATGAATGGCTTTCGATATTCCTGTGGAATTCATAAAATTCTGGTTTCCAATGTAAAACTCCTAAATAATATTTTGAATTTATCGTCTGACCATGTGTGGCTTGAATGCAATTCACTGTTTTGAGTCCCGACAATACTGAAGCGATCAGTATTGTCTGATTCCTTTAAGTTTCTCATGGGTTCTATGCAGTGCTCCAAAATTTTATTTTTAGTATGTATTGGCAATACCAGGTTTTATCGTTAGTTACAGTAGCTGACATGCAATCCGATTTCTCCGATTATTTCCGACCTTGTTGTTCGATTATTAAAACAAAATGGTATATAGACCTTCCGTTTGACAAAATTACAAAATTTTCCATTAAATTTTGATAGTTTGCATATTTCGGGTACTCAGTTTTCTCTTTGATGAAGAACTTCGAAGAACTTTTTTAACTTTCGCAATACTTTGTTCTTTGCTCGGTTCTTATTTTCAGGGTTCTCACGATTTTTATGAAGTAGGCCTTGAAATTCTCTTTGTTTTCATAAATATTTTTTAGTATTTCATGTATTCCTGGATCACTTTTAACCAATTCAGAATAGGATTTAATGGAAAGTTTTTTTTTGGACCATTTTATATCACAATGCATAAAAGATAATGTTAAAATGATGTGTCAAGTGGAATTGTTCAAATTTTGCCAGTTTGTAGACACAACGTTTATCTATCATCGTTCACTCATAGATGTAGCTACCATATATTTGAAACTGGACTTATTGAATCTGGAAACGTTTGGGTGTGTATTTGATTCATATCAGTTTAAAACCAAATTATGAATATGAATTAATACATTATCTAATAGATGATATTCATTCTTACCCGCGTTTATTGTGTCTGAGTTCTGATTTTCATTAACTATTTTTCTATTGATCCATGTTGCTGCGTCTTCCCGATTATGTATTAGAGGGGCAGTATTAATATGTGTTTCCCGTTGTTGTTGTTGTTGCTGCTGCTGTTGCTGTTGTTGTTGCTGCTGTTGCAATTGAAGTTGTTGTTGTTGTTGTTGTTGTTGTTGTTGGGTTCGTTGTTGCTGCTGTTGTTGTTGATGCATAAATTGCAGTTGTTGTTGTGGCGTTTGTTGCATAATGGAAGCTTGATATTGCAGCATTGATGAGGGCTTTTTGTATATAAAAAACTTTATAATTATTATTTTTAATTTAATATATAAAAATTAATAATAATAAGCAATTTAACAAACCTTCTGTACAACAGGATCTAATATATTATTGTTATTATTGGTAATAGTCGACGTGTCCAAATTTCCATTTGTCTGGGGAGCAGTATTTGTAGCAGGAATAGCTGCATTAACAGCTGAAGAAGATGAAGTAGCACCAGAGCACTGAAAATTTTAAAATTATTTTCAATATATTAATATATTAATTGATTGTAACATATATAGAATAAATATTACCTCTGGACCTTCATCACTGCCATCTTCACACTGTGGTATGCCATCGCACGCGTTATAGACAGCAATGCACTCACCGGAGTGACAGCTGAACTGAAATCGACCGCAGTTCGCTGTTATATTAGTGACTATAAATAATTTTAAATAAATGATATTTAAATAAAATAATAAATAAACTTCTTACGGACCTTTTTGTGTGTTGCTAATTTCATTTTGACTGTTACTTTGTGGTAATACTGCCACTATACTATTACTTCCAGCAGCAATATTATTTGTACCAACAGTATTACTTGTACCGATAGGGGAGCTTACCACGCCACCGTTTCCTGGTACGTTCTCAGAAGTTTTCTCCCGAGTTTCTTGTTTTACCTTTAAATTTGATAACTCCCATTCTTGTTGAGATATATTTGTTGTTGCAATATGTGGTAAAGTAGGGCGGGGAGTGGTGGTTTCTGGTATATGTCGAATAGTTGTCAATACTGCACTTGTATAATTGGCATGTCTTGTAAATTTGCAATGGAAATTTTCTGGTGGACCGCATTCAAAAAGATAACAGTAGCCGTCGTTCTTGTCTTCAAATATATAAACATCGCAAGAATCAGTTTCGCAGCATAATCGTTGACATTCTTCCATTGTGTCCAGTTCAAGACCTTGCAAATATTTACCACCAATTGCCTGCGATTCACCGGTCCGTATTATTGTGTTTTTATGAACATCAAATTGACCTATTGAAGGCGAAGAATCAGTTGTAGAATAAAATGAAATGCTTTAATTGACATAATTTAAGAAAAACTAAGAATCCAAATTAGGTACACAATATATCTTTAAAATGTAGATATTGACCGAGACGTTAACATTTCAATAACGTCACAGTTGGTGTGAAAATTAAACGACAAGAGGGAGGTCATTCTAAGCAGTTCCAGAGGCATGTAATCGAAGAAGTTAACAGGTTTCTTAAGATTATAGCCTTGGTCCGACGATTTCATCGGAAGAAGTCAAAAGGTTTTATTATGATTTAATTTAAAATTGGGGTTTTAAATATACGTGAAGGCGTCAACGACAAACTACTCGTTAATTTTCTTATAACTAGTTGTAGTATTAACTAATAAATGTAAAAACAAAAACCAAAAGAAAAAAAATAATATTTATATTTTAATATAAATATAAATTAAAATCAATTAATGCAATAATAAATAATTGATACTTTGTTAAATATGGATTTAAATGACGTTATTTTAAGTTTAATATACAATCATGCTTGGTTGTATGATTTTTATTGGAACCATTCGTATGTGGATTACTCTCATTTTTATGTGGATTATTCTCATTTGATTGAATTAACAAATCCTTATACTTGTCTAAATGACTGTTTGTTAATTTGAATTTAATGTAAATTTTGTTTGATTCCGTCATTTATGTTTAAAGTATATAAAAAAAATTCTCTAGTATTTTAGACAAAGCAAATACTGATGCAAGTAGAACAACATCTGGTTTAAAGTTTATAATTCTATACTTATATAGAAATTTGAATTCTCATTTAGTTTAATTTACTGCACTTATAAATATAGATGTGAACGATGTACAATGGTTGATTTGAATTTAATATAATTTATACTTGATTGTGTGGTTTACATCAATTCTTTATGCTATAAACAATAATGCTTAGGCATTTTTTTTTATTTCTATTATAGAAATTGGACGTCGCATCGATGCTTGATTAAATGCTCTTCAACTTTATCAGTAACGAATATAAATATTATCATGCTCTATATGGAAAAGTAAAAGAAATGGGTTAACGTTTTGCGAAAAGTGTATTAAGTAGAGTTTAAATGAAAAAATATATTTCTTTCTATGTTTAACATTTTCTAATACTCTAACTTTGTTATTTTTTAAGCACCCTTCGTATGAAAATATTTATTTAGAAGCACATATGCTCTGCGGATTGCAAACATAAATTTATTAAGTTTCGGAAATTTCAATACTACTCCGTTTAGTGATATATAAATGAAATCTTAGTAAAAATATATGATGTTCTCAATCAGCAAACTACAAGTTAGTGTTTTCGTACCTAGTCATACGAGTATTAACAAATATAGTTATGTACCGAGCAGCGTATATACTATACACGTATAAACTTTACACTATATATTATATAGTGGCATCGATGCCAGAAGAATTACGATGGCATCGTTGCTGTATTTCACCTCAATATTTTTTAAAAATTTTAAGGTTTATATATAAATTCTTTGTACTTCTTTTTTATATAATATTAATTTAATCATCATTTTGAAATAAATATAATAAAAAAATAAATATATACACTTACGGACCTATTCTGTGCACTTGACAGATTTGTCAAATTCTTTAATAAAATTTTTGATTTTTATATAGCATTAAACTTTTTGATATTCTGGACACATCTTGTATAGAAAACTGTTCGAAATTGTTCGTAACTGTTCGTAAAAAATGCTTGTAAAGAGCATATATTTTAAGTTGTCCAAAGCATTTTTCATGCATTCAAATAACAATAAAAAATATGCTTGTAAAGAGCGTATATTTTAGTTAAGGATATTTGTCATGCATGCAATTAATAAAAAATGCTTAAAAAGAGCACATTTTCATAGTTGTCAACAGCATTTGTAGTATTGACAACTAACAAGGAAAAGAGCTTTTTGTTTATGTCACAGAATACCAAAACCTTTACAGCAGTCAATTTTGACAAGTGTCAATGTTTGACAAGTTTATAAAGTGCACAGAATAGGTCTGTTATTTTTCATATATATAAATGATTCTTTGTTGATACTTTTGGATGGTTTGTGGTAGCGATAACGATTCCCCTTCTTTTCACACCTTCCTTTACATCAAAAAACCATCACTGCAATGATGTTCTAAAGTATTTCTAGGTATCAAGAAAGCATCGTTGGAAATCAAAGATTTATCGCAAATCAAAGATTTACCGAACCAAGTTTACGGAGAGTCTACAAATCTCGACCTAGATACCCCGTTTACATACAGTTCCAATACTTATTCTCTAGAATAAAGCCTACTCTAAACCTAAGCGAAAATGTTGATTATACACATTCAGTGTGATAGTAATTATATTGTAATCACACACCATTATAAATTACAAAACATATATAATAAATATATAATAATTATAATATAATATGATAATAAATAAGTAATAATATATAGTGATAATAATATAATAGTAATAATACATATTATAATTAATAACTAAAATATAAGCCAGGATAACTGAGGTGAATTTAACCTTTAGATCAAATAACTGTAAGGTAAGCATAACGGTTATGAAGGTTGGTATATGAAGGTATGGCTTAGGTTAAAAATGAAGGTATAATACAAAATATGTTATATTATATTAGGATATATTGGAATAAATTAAATTGAATTAAAAAAATTAATTAAGATAATTAGATAAGTTTAATCACAAATAAATGCAAGAGTAAAAAAGAGTCAAAATAAGGTGGAGCAGTTGAGGATACATAAGGATAACATGAGGGTAAACCATAATTAAAAATATTTTCGTCGTTAAATAACTGCTTCGTATGTTATAAGAATTAAACCTTTTATTTTTTTTTGACATTAAAAAAAAAAAAAATTAAAAAACAGTTGATGCTCGTATCATCTGAATTACATTCTGAAGCATTGTTCGGGATATCAAAAATATATAATTTGTGTTTAAACAGCTGCTTCATATTTTGGGCGCAAAACTTTTTAAACAACCCACGTATAATTTTGACTTCATTTGCAAGAAATGAAAGAGCGGTGTGCTGGTTAGAGCTTCCCATAGGATGTACTTACCTAGGCATGATTCCAGGTCCATGCGTTTTGCTAAATGATGCGCATTAGCAGACTGAATTGAGTTGTCGTAATGCTGTCTTGTGTCTACTGCACCGATCCGCGACCAAAACAATGACCCAAATGCCGTGAGGGTCAACAGATTTGCTGCACGCATTGTATGGTCAGCATCGATAAGTAAAAACTTGGTAATCGTAATTAGGAACATAATTACAATAATTTTAGTAAGGCCACACATTATTGAAATTGTTGGCAACACCTTACTAGCAAGTGTGCTGTGCAGCAAAGACGGGGGGAGGGGGATGTATGTGTTTGTCTATCACAAAAAAGATAAATTACTTCGCTTCAAGCAAAAACTTCAGCTGTTAATCTGCACCAGCGTTTGATTTCCTTTTGTTTTGCTTATACTTTTGCCTTTGAGATAATTCCTTTAGCTGGGGTAGAAATGTTGGAGGTGGGTTTTGATATCTGTTCTTGGTCCAATGTAATTGTCACTGCTTTTCGCAATAATTTTAAAATAATTTTCAATTTCTTAATGTTAAAATTTTTACAAAATATGCCAAAAGCACTTAACACTTTATTAATTAATTAAAAATACTTTTTCTCTTATTAATTATTTGTATACAATTAATTTTTGTGATTAACTATTTCTGCTATTCAAAGTTATTTTTACTCGTTTGATGCACTTTTTTTCTAATTCACAAATTTTCATTTAAGTTTTGTTTTGTTTTTCCTTTCACAACAAAAAGCACTATTTTTACAATTATTGATTTTCCGTATGAACAACAACAACAGAGCATAAGACATATATTTTTTTTTTTTTTGATATTTAATATTGTATATAAGTGCTACAAATTTATATTATATATTGCAAATATGTATACTTATAACTTCAGTTATTTTAACAATTTTTTATAGTACAATTTTTTATATCTATATATATATATATACATATACATATATATATATATATATATATGTTTTAATTTAAATTTATTTATAATTTAATTCGATACAAAAAGTTATAAAATTTCTAAGGTCAAAAAAAATTCAATGTCTTTCCGTGTTTTTGGTATGGTTGAAATATCTGTTGTGTGCGAAATATGTACCAGTGGAACGTTGGAACATTGGAACATGATAAATGAAATATGGAACTTGAAACGTTCGCGTGCATATGAAAGCTTTTACTACTTGCAGTTTGGAAGTACAACGATTGGAAGTTAATCTGAGGATAGCAATAAAACGGTGTGTAGTAATAATAAGAAAAAAGCGGGAATTTGGAAAATGACGGTAAATAAGTAAATATGAAAGCTTTATCGCCTTAAAAACAAATCGAAAAAAATCGATATATTTAAAGCACATATGCAGCAGAACAGTGTCAGCTCGATAACTGTGCTATTTTGAAACTTGCGTTTCAGGTTTAGGTTAGGTTTATGTGATATGATTTAAATGATAAATGTTCAATGAAATGAAATGTTCTGATTAATACATTCAAAGAACATATATATGTAGCAGAACAGTGTTAGCTCGATAATTGTTTGAATTCTCATTAAGTTTCTCTAAACTTTTTTCCACTGACTTAACTAATACTTTGCTGTATATTTCGACGAGATAGTTCACTTCTCCCACTCAGTTCTGCTGTACAATCGCCGTTATCGTAATCCACTCTACAGAGTATATACCTAAGTAGTCCTAAGTAGTTTTAAGTAATATTCAACATCTTCCATAATTAACTTTTACTATATTTTTACACCTAGCTTAGATAAATTTTGCAACTACAAATACTAAGCTCCTTTTACCGTTTCTCCCTGATTACTAGAATGGGGTTGCCCAATCTTTCACAATCATTACTAAGAGATTGTTTCAGTCGGTTCAACTCTCACAGTGTGGCTTTTGATGCTCTCCACTTAATGCAAAGAAGAAGAAAAAGGCTCGAAAATTGCACTATCTTGAAACTTGTATTTCAGGTTGCTTAGGTTAGGTTAGTGTGAAGGTCTTACTTAATCGATACATTTAAAGAAAAACAGTATTAGCTTGGTAATTGTAATTCGTTGAAATTTGTTTCGTGCAATCCAGTTATTTTTTCTTACTCACTTATAGGCGTGAGTCGTTATTGGATGTGTTTAATAGCCTTTACAACCCAGCCCGATTAGTGGCTTGCTGCTGCCAGTTGATAGTGCACAGTTTCCCCATACCGTTGTACACCTAGTCCAATGCATATGTCCTTTACCAAACCAGTGAAGCCGCTGTATTTTTAATCGCTTATGTCAATGTCATCGTATAGCTCATCATTTCATCTAATTCAAAACTGTTAACGCGTAATGGATCACAGATCTTTTCAAAATCTATTTCTCTCAAATGCTCGTAAGGTCTACTCATCACTGTTGGTTATTGTCCAAACTTTTGCACCATACATCAGAAAAGATATAATAACAGACTTGTAGAGCATGATTTTTGTCTGTTAAGAGAAGGCTTTATTTATTAATTGCTTACTAAGCCGAAAGTAACATATGTTTTTAATAGTGCTTATTCATTGTATCTGTAGGCAGATATGATAAAAGACTTTTGGAATTTGATTTTTGTCTATTGAGAGAAGGCATTATTTATTATTTGCTTGCTTAGTCCAAAGTAACATATGTTTTCAAAAGTGCTTATTCATTGTATCTGCAGGCAGATATGATAAGAGACTTTTGGAGCTTGATTTTTGTCTGTTGAGAGAAGGCTTTATTTATCAATTGCTTACTAAGCCCATAGTAGCACCTGTTTTTATTAGTGCTTACAGATCTACAGATATAATGAATAATAGATAGATAAGAAACACCACAAAAACATTTATAAAAACCGGCCTGCGCATAGATAACGTTAGAAAGAACAGACATGACTTCGCCATTTAAGTCTATTTAAATCAACCTGTTAAGTCAACAAATTTGGGTGTGCCTTTAAATTTAAAGGATGACAATTCTGTTAGGTCGGTGGGCAAATGGAACTTTAAAGATATTCAATCCTTTTTTGGCCATTGTTGGTTACTGATATATAAGATGAAATATAGTCCCTTTATTTTCTGCAGAGTCACAGTGACTATAAAAGATATATGGATAGACCAAGTATAATTGCATTTCTTTTTTAGTACCATTTTTTGACCTGTTAGTACCGATACCGTAGTGCTTAGTAGCTTTTGCTTTAATCGGAGAAACTGACTTATACGTTTTTGTCAAAATTGGACCAATTAAGTTTTGTAGTTTGACAAGAATCTTTATAAAACCAGACTTTTTTTAACTATTGCTAACTATTGAATTCGGTGGGTGCAACCTCTTTAAACTCTTATTCTTCCTGTTTTTCGTTTATCCTTAGAAATTATTTAGTCATTAATTCTCAGTATAAGATGTATAATATTACATATAATATGTAAATAAAATTTTGATAAACTAACCAGTGAAAGAATATGTACTATAACCTTGCAAAAGTCTAGTATAGACGCACGGAAACACTAAGGGCCGATTTCACAGTCGTTACTTAAGTTTCGAAACTGTTCTAAGTCAATTTGATTAAGTCAATATTATAGCTTAAATTGGTCCTCATTGTCATTTATACTTTACATAAAGTTTTGTTTTTACAGCATCATATGGGTTATTCTTTTACAAATTGGACGGATTTTGGCTAAACGCGAAAGTAATTTATTTAATAAAGATATTTCAGAAAGCAATAACGTTCTGAAAAGTTTTATTTTTTGATGTAAAATTTAATGGTTAATTTAATTCAGAAATAAAAATCAAACATTTTTCCATCGCTTTTCTTGGAAAATTTATTTAATGGTGTTATGGTGCGTATGAGTGACATATACAACGCTTGATAAATTAATTTCTTTTAATTATTTCCAGAAACAATACCACACTGGAAATATTTATTTTTTAAGTACAAATTAATGATTAATACGAATCAAAAACAAAAAAAAAATTTTTTTTGAATTGTCTTTTTTTACTGAACAATCGTATGTATATGTTTGGTGTGTTATGGAATATAAATAAATTTTTTAGAAGTACTTCTAAGGATAATATCGTTTTGGGTTTTAATAGAATTTTATTTCTATTTTATATATTTTATTTATTTCTAATTATTTTTAAATATTATTTATTTTATTTTATTGGAGGTGATGAGGACACTTTTTGCCAAAATCCGCCCAATTTGTAAAAGATTGACCCATATGCGTTATTACTGGACGTTTAGTTGTTTATTTATTAAAATACACTCAGGAAGTAATAAATAAATGTTGGTGCTAAATTTCCAAACACTCTTATGATTTCGAGTATTTCGGACACCGTCGTCTATTCTGAATTAGTTTGTTCATATGCTATAGCTAAAGATAGTTATTCAAGATATTGGGTTTGTGTTAAAAAATTCACCTGAATCAAGTAATTAAATGAAAATTCCTATTACTTTGCTAGTCCTACATGTGTTATTTTGTATAATTTCACTATTTATAATTAGTCCTTTCTATCAAGTTGCTATTATTATAGAATATTTTTAATTATTTTTCTATTTTGTTTGAGAGTTTACAATCTGTTATCCACTAGTTTTATTAAGTTAAAGGAATTTAGACTATTGAGGCGCATTTATTCTTTATCTAATAATGCATTGTATGTTTTGATAATTCTTTATTTAAGTATACGAATAGAAAAAAAAAAAAAAAAAAATTCAAAGAACTTGATTAATTTTATACAAATTCCAATGAGTTTGTCAATCCTACTTTGACATAACCTCGACTGTTATAGTTCGTTTCGAAAGTTCTAGCTATGTTTTTCATGCTCTTCATATCATTTTGAGTAAAGGTTATATTAAGAATTTCGAGATACACAAGGACCATATGTAATACAGTAAAGAAGTCCTCGGCGATTAAATGAATGTAAGTATAGAGCATATAAATAATTGATCTAGTGGTGTTTTTATGTTCAGATGTAGATGATTTACCTGCAAACTAATATAACTAATGAATCCAGCTTTATATAAAACCACTATCTAAATCTAAGCATAATAGATTTTTGCTAGAAATATAACATAATTAAATGTAATTACAGTTTAATATAAATTGAACTCTGGCAAAGCCGATCTCAATACCCATCCAAATAAATAAATGTATTCTTCTACAGTCTAATTATTAATTCCAAAAATTCGTTAAGTCTAATCAATATTTAAACAAAGAACTTCAGGTTTCTATAGTAAAGTAATTATTCCTTAAAAATTATTTAAAGAAAAAATTAAATTTCTGTTTATCTTAATACTTTCCATTAAGTTTTTATATGATTCACATTGTATAATTGACGGTCGTGCAGGACTTGTAAAATCATGCTTTAAATGTATGGCTAGAAGCTTTAAGTATACCATAGTATTTTTGGGGATCAATTTAGGGACGCATTTTAGAGGCATTTTTTAGCAAGAACTTTCTTTCAAATTCAATTTGTTAAAGTCTTGACTATTTATTCTATATAACGAATCTAGAATTCGTTTGATAATGAATTTTGTCGTTCTTCCAT